CTTTCACCAAAAAAATTTCATCATCCGGGAATGGGAGAGATGGGCTCCCATCAAACGCCACATCCATGGTCACCCATATGTTAGGACCTTCATATTCTATAATAGTCCCCTTCACCACAATGTTTGGCGGGGAATCCACGGCAAGGTAACAAGTATTATCCTACAATAATAGAGTGGCAAAAAATTAATGTCAAATAAACATGACATTTATATCTTGTTAACCAAATGGTTAGATCTTACCACTACGACCGATTTGGCCAATAAAGCATTGCCCCACGTCAGATATCAAACTCCTATTATTCAATTGATTGGACATTTTCTCAAATCTCTCCTCCAAAGCATTAAACTTCTTAATAAATTTATCTCTTTCCCTTGTCATCATATCTCTAACTTTTTTTGGAATCTCAAAGCACACCTCATGGGTGATAAACTTCCCCATATCTCGTACTAACCCTAGATGTTCTTTGGTGCCCAATGCTTGATTGAGTATGCCATTTTTGCCATCTGTTTTCAATGAACCAGTCTTTGCCTTAGTCTCAAGGTCACTCTACAAATAAGACATAATAATTAAGCTTGTTTCTGAAGCCCACAAACAAAAGTGTATTAAATTTTATGATAACATAATTCATCACTTACAATCTTCTCCACCCTCTGAGCCACTTCTAAGTCATAACCTCCACCTTTTCTTTTTCTAGCCAATTTTCATGTCAAGCTTCTATCAATTTCCTCTTCAGTCAACTCAGTCTCTTGTTTCTATAGAAAATTAATCACAAAACATGGATATTAACAAAAATATATTAGTCTTGTAATAATACGATGTTTCAATAAGATTAAAATGCTTACAATTTCTTCAATAAGATTAGCGTATCCCTTCCGGGACAATTTGTGGTTGTATTTGTTCTTGGCTCGTTTTTCCTTTTGCTTAATGCTTAAAGTTTGGCCAAATAAATACAATGGTTTGTGACATCCAACTAGTTAGATACATTTATTAAAGTAGTTAATCATTTGGAAAAGTTCACCTTAAAGTTTTTCGATGATCACTTAGCCACAAATACTTCCCAGTGACTCTTCCTAATGAAGTTATATTGTGGTGGAGGTCTCACCAATTTACTCCTATTATCCGCAAAGGGAATAACAAAATGCTTGTTCAGGGTATATTTGAACGACCTCCACTTTACTCCAATGTCCTGAAGCATTTTCTTTCGACTCCTAAGGTTGACCCCAAAATGTTCCTACAAAAATAGTAAGTATTAAGATTCATGACATATAATCATTGTATTATTCTAATTTAGGTACAAGTTTTAGTACCTTACACACACAAAATCACATATTTTTCCCTTTAAGTCTTTTGGCACATGTAGCCAGTCATCATAAATAATAGGAACCATAGTTCGAGCTACCATCCCTTCAAATGTGGCTAACTCTATAGCCTCGGGTCCAATAGGAACACCTCTTTTGTTATACTTTATTGTCAGTTTTGTTTTAGGCTTGCCTTTCTTTGTTGGGCCCCTCTGTTTTTTCCTCTCTAGTTTTCCATCTTCTTGTTTAGGGCTACCTTCACCTTCATTTTCATTTGAAATGTCTTCTTTTGGTGGATCCATGTCAAACAAAACTACTACAAAAAAAGCCCGTCCAAAAAGTCTTCAAAAACCTGAAAATTTCAAATGTAGTGAATATTAGTACAATGTAATGTATGAACAATACAATAATTGAAATTATAAGAAATTAAAACAATGCAATGCATGAACAAATGAATTGAATTAATATCTTACCAAAAATTTAGACATTATATGAATTTATTCAACCCAAATGCCTTTAGCATCCAGGCGTGTATACAAAAAATCATCGTTATCACCACCATCAATAAACAAAGAAGCTTGTGCATCAACTGGGCTTTCAAATTGCATGTGATCATCAGTCTCATTATTCAAATCGGACTTATACATTCTCTTTGGCATCATAGTAACAACAGCCCAATTTTCATCTAATTGGTCTGCTGTGTAAAAAACTTGTTTAGCTTGAGAAGCCAATATGAAAGGATCAGATTATGACCTAATCTATTTGTAGAAAACCCAGATCATCTACTTCACCATTACTATCGAACCAATAACACTTAAATACAGGCAGATTAAACATGTAATAGTCAAGTTTCCATATTTCATCTATAACTCCATAGAATGATACATCACCGTATATAAGATTCTTATCCTTAGCACTTGCAATTTGCATTGTATGTGAGACTAAGCTAACCCCACTATATTGTGTAACTTTATCAATAGCATAGGCTTGTGTGTGGAAATTTGTTAATAACATAACCCAAGAACTTCATAACAAAAGGACGAGGTCCTTGTGCTAGCCAACACAAAGTGTCTGATATCTCATCACCATTGGCCAAAGAAATTGAAACTTGTTTAATAAGTAGCCAATATCACATAGTGGCATAAATTAGTTAAAGAAGACTAAAAAAATGGGGAAGCTTGATCCACCTTATCTTGTAGCCAATGTGCAAAGATGCGAATGTGTTGAGCTTGTAACCATTTTCGGTTTCTAGATTGACGGTGATGTTGTTTCTTTAACATTTCCATATGTTCCCTATATAAATGCAATTGAATTACTCAACACAATTAATTGAACTATACAAAGAAACTGAAATGAGAAAGGGATAATCGTTACTCAATATAAGGCTCAACTTCAACTATAATATTTGATTATCCACAAGTGTCGATTGACCACCCGGTAAAAGCTTACCAAAACATGTTAATTTGTCAACAAAAGCATTTGGATCACCAATTGGTTTGACACTGTCTATGTAATATGAGCAAAACTCTAACACTTCTTTTGCTACATAACACTCTGCAATGCATCCCTTTGGCTGATTATGGTTCCTCACATAACCTTTAAATGTTTTCATATAGCTCTCAAAAGGATACATCCATCTAAAGAAAACAAGTCCACATAGCCTAACTTGTCTAATGAGATGCATTGTCAAATGTATCATGATATCAAAGAATGAAGAAGGGAAATATTTCTCTAACAAACACAATGTCACAACAACATCACTTTGTATCTTGGTTAACTTGCCCACATCAACAACCTTACTACACAGTGCATTAAAGAAGAAGCATAACCTAATGATAGCATATCTCACATTCTTGGGCAAAAGAGCTCTAATAGGTAATGGTAACAATTGTTCCATAAGTACATGACAGTCATTAGATTTCAAACCAAGAATCCTTAAATCATTTATCGAGACAAGGTTCTTTATGTTTGAAGAATACCCTACAGGTACTTTGAGATTTGCTCAGTTTTCATAAAACTTTCGCTTCCCCACTTTATTCATAATGTAACATGTTGGAGATAACCAAGTACATTTCCCTCGAACTTGTGGTTCTAGTTCTTTCCTGATCCCCATATCACAAAGATCTAATCGTGTGTTAAACCCATCTTTCATTTTCCCCAGTATATTCAACAATGTACCATAAATGTTTTCACACACATTTTTTTCAGTGTGCATGACATCTAGTTGATGACAAACATACAAATGTTTCCAATATTAAAGTTCAAAGAATATGGATTTCTTCTTCCATAGTTTATGTTTGTCGTCTTCACATAATTTAAGTTTTTTCAGCAAGTTCTTTCCCCATACATTTTCAATGCCTTCAAGTTGTCTCAACAATTCTATCCCACTCAAAGAGTCATTGGGAGAACCAAGCTCTTGAACACCATTGAAAGCTTTCTTTTGTTTCTGGAATGGATGATTCTTAGGGAGGAATCGCCTATGAGCCATATAACAATTCTTCTTGGAATTCTTCAATCTACGAGAGGATGTACCTTCTGCACATATTGGGCAAGCATAATAACCTTTAACACAACAACCGAAAAGGTTTCCATATGCGTGGAAGTCATTTATGGTCCATAGTAACACTACTTTTAAGGTGAAATACTCTTTCCTATAAGCATCATAAGTTTCAACACCGATTTCCCATAATTGTTTTAAGTCCTCGATTAGAGGTGACAAATATACATCAATATTGTTCCCAGGTTGTTATGGACCCAATATCAATAACGTCAATATTATGAACTTCCCTTTCATGCACAACCAAGGTGGGAGGTTACAAGTTACAAGCATCATCAACCAACAACTATACTGACAACTTAAAGACCTATGTGGATTGAAACCATCCGTTGAAAGAGCCATTCTAAGATTTCTACTTTCCGAACCAAATTCATCCCACTTATCATCAATAAGTTTCCAAGTGGGTGAATCCACTGGATGTTGAAGTTTACCATCATTCTTATTGTTACGTCCATGCCAAGTTAAGTCATAGGTAGTTTGAGAAGATTGAAACATCCTTCTAAACCTAAGGATANTGCATTTGAGATGATTTAATGGAGTGGTCTTTGTTTGGCTACACAAGATTTATATTTGCCTGTGATTGATTAATACTTCTATAATCATTTTATGTATATAATGATCGACCTTTACATGTGACAGGAATCGTAGAAGTTGGCCCTAGTAGAATCAACTAGTCTGGATCAAAAGCAAATAAACAATTGGTTTATCAATCAAAGGAAACGGCATTGGAAGCCGTCGAAAGCTATCACTACAAGAAAAAAAGCCCTTCTTGACAAGTATTACCTGCCAAAAAGGGGTTTTTTGACATTTTTTGAACTGTCATTGTAGCTCCTATCAAGAAAGGGTCATGACAGTTTTTAAACTGTCAAGGACCTCTTGACAGATTCTTGACAGTTCGATAACTATCAAAGATTTAACTGAATTTTAACTAAATCCTTGACAGTCTTCGAACTGTCAAGAGTTTTTAACCGAAAAAAAAAATTGAAAAATAATAATAAAAAAAATTTGTATTAATAATAATTGCATCATATGCAGTTACAACATATTTCATAATATTATATAAATTGATTGAGAAGTTAACCTTAATACAAGGCTAAACAAAACAATACAAATTCAAATAAAAGAATAGAATGATAAACAAAACAAAAATAAATAAATAAATAACCCACATGCATGCATTGCTAAAGGATTTTTAATCTCATCACTGTAATCTTGCAAAAAGTACTCAACAAGAAGAGGTGCGTGGACTAAACATTAAAGGGCACTATTCATAAAGCAAGTATTTCCCAGATTATGTAATCCAGCGAAACCTCCCCTCTCTCCTTTTTTAACAGTGTTATAAGAGTCGTATCCATATTTGTTAATGCTGAGCCCAAAGAACTACCCTGATACTGATTAAATCTATAACCTATTGAGTGACCATTTGACATGGTAGGCCCCCAGCAATTATTAGGGATGACCTTGATGGTTCTAGGGGTACCAAAGCTAGTTCATTTCCGGTGGAATCCATGTCAAAGCGAGAAGAATAACCTCCATCAACTTGAACCTCCAGAAGAATCTGCAAAGAAAAGGATACATCAACCATACAGTTTATTAAAAAGAGATTTCAAATGTGTATCGACATTTAGATAAGTTTAACAGCGAAGACCATCATAAAGAAGTTGCCACAACAACAATTTCTTAGTTTATCCTGACAATTTCAAATAAAATCCAAAATCTTAAGCAAAGTGCAATAGACTTTAAAAGTTAAAAGGACAATCAAGAAAGTGTTTATACAAAATTGTATGAAGACAAGTAGACAACTCTTAAAAAAATAATGTTAGTACAACCTAATTTCCAAATACCACTCCCGTACCATTACGAATATCCAAAGAAAGAAAACAACTATGATCAAGTTTTGTCCAAAAATGTTCACCTATGTTCTGATCATTTTTCTCTTTTGGTTAGGGAAGTGGGGGTAGAAAGATGGGATGGATGGGGTGGGGGCTTGTCTAAAATTTTAATATTATTCAAAAAAATATAAAACTTAAAACGCTCAATACTTCTCACATTCTACATCCAAATTTCCTTTTATACGCAAGCATGAGTCTCAACTTCTACATTTCCAGATTCACACATTCTATCCACATATCCCAAGGACCTACATTTCCAGATAAAAATATATAGCAGAGCAATATAAACCAGTTACTACAAAAGTTCTCAGCAAAGAACTATTATTATCATTGTTCAAAATGAAAACTAAATGACAACAAAACACAGATATTGAAACATTACACCACAAGACCACATCTATGTATGTCTACTTATTATCCATTATCCAGAAGAGATAGTCACCCCAATCATAAATAAAGAGCAAGTTCAGTAAATTACAAATAATTCACATTTAGAATGAAAATCACAACCAGACATACATGGCCATGGATCCACAAAAAGACAAAAAAACAAAAAAAAAACATGGAATTTTTTATACAATCCCTTTTCTTATCTGCAAGATAATTTTCTATCCAAATAACACTTCAAATATTATAAACATAAGCAGGATACTCACATGTTGGTCCTAGAATCAATCAAATTGAGAGAAAGTGGGTAAACCTCTACTCTCTTCTCACTGGTCATGCCCTCACAAATCATCTTTCTTGGCAATGTTGGGCCTCCTTTGTACCTAAAATTTAGAGATTAACCAGTTAAAAAAACATAAGCTTTGTTATTAATGAAGAATTCGTACTAATGCCTACAATATCACAGAAAACGAACATTCTCACTCTACAAATTTGGACAAGCAATTCCATTCCAAAAAACTAGCTTTACACATACATCAGCATAAAAGTTGAATATGAAATAAAGAGCTCTTTGTAAAGAGTAAAAAATTATCTTGGCAAAGGAGGTTGGAGTTGGACTGTTATTTTGATCCCCATTTTTCTATAATAATGGATTATTGTAAAAATTTATTTTGATCTATTATATGATAATATAAAACTATGTATTCTTTCATAGGCTACTTGGTGAATAGAAACCAAAACAATTAGTCCTAATAAGTTATAGAATCTAATACAAACAGAAAACACTACAATACAAAAAGTTTGGAGAGCTTTGAACATGATAAAAGACATGAAAGATGATGCAGATGCCATCAAATTGCAGAAAAAGTAATCATCCAATACATGGTTAGAGATTAAAGTTACAAGCAAGTGCGTTCTAGATCCAAATTGATTAAATTCAATCAGTTTGTTTTAGATTAAGCAACTAAGCCCTTAAGGTAACAACATAACAGATATCTAACACTGAAAGTGCTCCAGAAATATTGACATGGCAACTAGAAATGGAAAATCCAGACTATAAAAAAATACTCAAGTTACTTCAAAACACAGAAGCGAAGAGAAGAAAATAAATTTTTGAGAGTGAATTGTCTCACTGAATGTGCATGGCTATGCCAAAGTAAGCCTAAAAAGTATATCATATAATTGTGTCAATGCAAAGAAACTTTTAAATAAACAAAGAACAAATTAGCATACCAAACCAGTGCATTTTGTTTAAGTTTGAAAAAGCCCCTGTCAAGAAGGCCCACTGGGCTGCTGCCAGTATAAACCACAAACACCCAAGCAAAGAGTCTGTCCAGCGTATATTCAAAGACAAGAAAAGACTTATCACAATGTGACATTATTCTCACATTAAATCAAAAGACTTCTCACAATACCATACAATGGATTTTGTCATCTCAAGAACATCAAACAAAAATGTGTCATCTCATCATAATTTCGACTACCAAATGAGTATAAATTAACTCTAAACTCAAGAACTTATAACAATACTATACTACATAATATGTATTTTTAAACTGCTGACCTAAAAAACTGTCTAAAGGCCCTGGACTCCTAAAAAAAATACAGTGTAAATTTATTTTTATATATAAATAATGTGAATCATTATACTTAGGACTCATATTGATAGATCCCAATCAGAGTAATTTGAACACACAAAGATAATTCTCTTAGGGTGAGAATCAAACCACAATAATTGATAACTTTTTCTCCCCCTTTTCATTTCCTTTGTTCAGTTTATTATACATCCTACTTGCTGGAGTATTGGGACCGAGTCTTTAGGAGACTCAACTTCCCCTGCCCCACGATCTTCTTCAACAATAACTAGAAACATGGAAATAACTATAATTCTGGAAATAGGAAATAGCTTAACTAAGTCTAAACAAGTGGAATTAAACAAACAAATAGGAAATGAAGGCTACTGGACTGGACTGGGCTGATGATATCAGTCCAAGTAGCGTGGGTTGGGCCGTAAGGTCCGTGATGACCTTCTAGGCCTAACACATATTTACCATTTTTTTGGAAGAGAAAAGTTTTTTCTCAGTACGACATTATCAATCTCACAGTAAATTCAAGAAGTTGTCACAGTACTATACAATATATATAGTTGTCACAGTACTATACAATACATATAATCCGTTTTTTTTCTTTTTAATTTTAAATTACTGACCTACAAAACTGTCTAAAGGCCCTCGAATCCTGGGCAAAACCAACCAAAACAAAGGCACCGAAAAGCAGAAATATTCAAACTAGTGTGAATCTGGACACAAAGAAAACAACATAAGAAAAGAGGAAACTCATTTTTACACACAGTACAGATATAATAGTAATAATAATAAGCGAATGCGAAAACAATGGATTGAAAAAGTCGTTTTACACTACAGATCCAATCAATTCATATTTAACATATGGAAATCATAGTAAAAAGCAATGTGTGTTTATGAATGAGAAGGCTATATAACGATGGAATAACTGTAATGTTTATAAACATAAAAACAAATACAAGACAGGTTCATCCAAGGAAGAAAACAACATTCTTACAGGTGATGGTTTGCGGCGGCGGAGGTGGTGAAGGACTTCACTGTTTATTGGCTATTGGGAACTGAAGAAACAGGTAAGGAAGAGATTTGGGCGCTTTAGTGGAGGAGATTTAGGTAATTTAGTGGAGAAGAATTGGGTTTGGGAAGTTTTTTCTTGCCCTAGGTTTGACTTGGTCGAAATGTGGGGGAAAATGGGTTTTGACAATGAACTTTGGTGTTTGGGCAGGAAGAATTTGCCTTAGCAAAATTTTAGAGGGGAAGCCTTAGCCAATTAAGTTTTTTTTTTTTTTTTTTTTTTTTTTTTTTTTTTTTTTTTTTTTTTTTTTAACTTAACCTCGACTATTAATCACTCTCAAGTGTTAAAGAAATTAACAGTCAAGAAGTGAATTTCATTTTCTAAAATTCTTGACAATAAAAACTGAAGGATCAGACTATAAAATTAATAAATAAAATTAAATAACTTATTTTTTACAAACTTTAACTGTTAATAACAGTTAAGGATTTGCTAAAACGGTAAAACAGTTGAAAAAGGGTAATGATTTATTTCTACTAGTATACTTTAGAATATATATAATAAAAACATACATATTAGCATATGAAAAATAATTGGGCCAAATTTTCTTTACTTATAAAATATAATTCTTTACATATACCAAAATAACAAGTACAAACTTTAGCAACGGTCGACAGTAATGTCAATTCTCTCCGCTTGTCGACTTCCTTTCGACCGCTGCTCACTATTTCCTGCAAAACATGAAAAAACAACGGGTGAACACAAAATGCTCAATAAGTAAATCCCTTATCTTTTCTCTTTCTTTGGTTCTTTCCTTAATTCCTTCTTCTTTCTTTCGTTCCTAGTTCTTTTTGTTTCTAATTCTTACTGTTCTTTCTTTCTTCCTAATTCCGCTATTCTTTCCTTCTCTCTGTTCTTTCTTTTTATTCTTTCTAACCATAATGGAATTCATGGTAATATGATGAATGAAATGCATATGCAAATGCATAAAAATGCATTTTTTTTCTTCTTTTATTCTTATATTTCGTTTCTTTTCTTTTCTTTCTTCCTGTGTTGCTTGCTTAAGCTTCTCTTTCTTTCTTGTTTTTTTCTTTTTCTTTTCTTTGCTTGTTCAAGTTTTCTCATTCTTTCTTATTTCTTGTTCTTCTTATTCTTTCTTTTATTACTTATCTTTTAAGTAATAAATATATACAAATATTTACATATGGAGGCTCATGCTTAGAATTCTTATTTAAATGCACTCATGAAATGCAAATATGTTGCATAAAATTAAGGTTGTACTCATACTCATGCCTATTTAGGCATTTATCAAACAATAAATGTGCATATACAAACTCTACTTTAACTACAATTCTATTGTTTCTTAAGCCACCAAAATGAGAGTAAAACTCTCTTGTATCATACAATCCCTATCACGGCAAACACTCCCAAACTTTCTTAAACTCTTCCAATTTCAACCAAACTTCAATCTACATCATACAATCAAAAACACTTTCATACTCAAAATACTCAACAACAAAAAAAATAATCACAATGTCATCTCAATTTCCCAACAATCATAACATACATGCTTAAAGAAATTTCTACTCAATTGATTTCTTAAACATTAACTTAAGTTGAATTTTGAATTGGATTACTTACCTTATATTGAGTAGTCTCCACTAAAGCTCTCATTCTTGCTGGACTCAAATTTCTTCAACCCTAAGATAAACTATAAAAAATTCAACTTCTACACAAAGAAATCTTATATAGAGCAAGAATTCTACCTCTTGTTACCTAGAATCAAAACCTTGTCAAAATTCACTCAAAAGCCCTCAAAAATCCTTGGAAAATTGAGTGAAAAGTTGAGAGAAAATGGAGAAGGAAAGTGGCGGCGGGGAAGAAGAGAAATAAGGGGTTTTTAAGACTAAACCCTTAAATATCTCATTTTAAAACATACTTTCTTATTTTGCCCTTACACTTTCTTGAAAATTCCACTTTGTCCTTAGTCAATTACCATAATGCCCTCATTTTTATTGCATCTCCATGAAATTCTATCTCTTTTCACTCCCCACAATTTCAACTAATTTTGAGTGAAAAGACCATTTTACCCTTAATGAAGTTTAAGGCATTTTCTCCACATCTCTCAAAATAACTTAACCAAAATCAACTAAGGGCTATAAAAACATAAATTAAATTACATACCTCCGTGTGGGCGTTACAATCTCCCCTCTTATAAGAATTTCGTCCTCGAAATTCGAACAAACAACTTCGGGTAACGGTTCTACATATCCTGCTCCACTTCCATGTAGCTTCTTCAACTTTATGATTTCTCCAGAGGACTTTCACTAAAAGGATACTCTTGTTCCAGAGCTCTTTAATCTTTCTGTCCAAAATCTATACTAGATGCTCTTCATACACAAGATCTCTTCCAAGTCTACATCCTCTGTGCTCAGAATATGGGAGAGATCACTTATATACCTTCGAAGATCGAGACATGAAACATTGTGAACTTTGTCTATACTGGGTGATAGTTAATCTGTAGGCCACCTTTCCTACTGCTATAACACCTCAATGGACCAATGAATCTTGGTGCTAAATTTCCTTATTACTGAAATGATCACCCTTTGTAGGGGAAACTTTCAGAAAAACTTTGTCACCACTTCAAACTCAACTTCTTCTTTTCAGATCAGCATAGCTTTTTTGCCTATCTTGGGCTTGTTCATTCTGCTTCTAATCAGTTTCACATCTTCTATCATTTTCTGAGTCATTTCTAGCCAAGAGCATATTTAACTCATCTTTCTTGCCCATCTCATCCCAATACAGTGGAGATCTATACCGTCTGTCATACAAGGCCTCGTAAGGAGCCATCTTAATTTAGACTGGTAGCTATTATTATAGCAAACTCCACCAAGGCTAACATCTCATGCCAGGATATGTTATAATCCATACAACATGCTATCAACATGTCCTCAAGCACTTGATTTGTTCTCTACGTCTGGCCATCTGTCTGGGGATGATAGGCGATACTAAAAGCCAACTGGTACCCACGTTCTCTGTAAACTCATCCAGAAAGCTGAGACAAATCTAGAACTCTGTCTGATACTATTGTCTTGGATACACCATGAAGTCTCACTATCTCTTAATATACATCTAGGCCAATTGATCCGAAGTGGTACTCTTTTTTACTGGAAGAAAATGGGCTAATTTAGTCAACCTGTACAATCACCCATATGCATTGTATCCTTTCTGCACTCTAGGGAGACCTATATAAAATCCCTCGAGATACTCTCCCATTTCCATTCAGAAATACTAAGTGGCTGAAGCAACCCTGATGGCCTTGGTGTTCTGCTTTCACTTGCTGACAAATCAGGCATTTAGCTACAAATTCTGCAATATCTTTCTTCATACCTGGCCATCAATAGCCTTTCTTTAAATCTTGATACAACTTGGCTGCTCAGGATGAGCAGTGTACGGTGTGTCATGAGCCATAAGGATTCTCTTTCTAATCATCTCCTGAAGAATTCACATCCGATCCTAAACGAGGACTATCCAACAACTGAAACTCTGATGTTGCCCATGCACTTGCACACTGTGAACTATTTTCGACACCACTCATTGGTTAGTTGCTTTTCTTATTTTCTTCTAGTAAGGTAGACTGAACCTCTAACCTGGCAATCCTTCCTGGTATGACCTCAATCTGTTTTTCACAAACTCTTCTTAAATTCTTTCTGTTTGAGTCGAGATAAATAAGCTTTTCTGCTCAAAGCATCGGCTACTACATTAGCTTTCCCCGGCTGATACTTAATCTCACACTCATAATCTTTAACCAACTCTAACCATCTTCTCTGTCTCATATTCACTCCTTATGAGTAAAGAATACTTAAACACTTATGGTCGGTATAGATATTACTCTTGGCACCAAAAGGTAATGCCTCCAAATCTCAAGGCAAAGACTACTACTGCCAATTCTAAATCATGTGTAGGTATCTTGTGTAATGCCCCACTTGAGGTACTAGTTAAGATTTGCTGTATGGCTTAAATGTTCTTAGATTCAGCTTTAATCGAGTTTGTATGTTGAGTTGGTTGAGTGTTGTGAAATGATTAAGATTTGAGGAATTTTGGAGTTGCAGGCGTCGCCGAGGCGAAGAAGAAGCTTCGTCGCGGCGAAGAGTGTTACAACCAGGTGTAGCTGCTGTAAGTTTTCGCGGGGCGAAGAAAGTTCTTCGCTGCGGCGAAGAGTCAGCTGAGTTTGATTTTTAAGTTTTAGACATTTTCTTCCCTAAGGGCAATTTGACCATTCTACCCCTAATCAATAGGAAAAGTGGGGAGTAAAATGTAAGGAAATTTCATGGAGAATATGTTGGTATGGTGGTGTGATTGTAATGAATCAAAGGATATAGATGGATTTTCCAAGGAAGAGTAAGGGCAAAAGGGAATGCTTGCCCATAAGTGAGTTAAAAGGATTTAAGTCATTGCAAACCCTTCATCTTCTTCTCCACCGCCATCTCCTTTTCTACTTCCTCTCAATTCCTCTTTCATTAGTTCAAGGATTTTTAGAGGGCTTTTTGGAGTGATTGGGGTAAAAATCAAGCTAAGGCATCCTAGGTAAGGATTCTTGCTTTGGATGTGAGGTTTTGTGTGATATTTGTATATTAAAGTTGTATGGTTTCATTATTTAAGGGTAGGAAAAGTCAAGCACAAGAGGAAAAGAAAGTACTAGTGAAGTTCTCCGTTACAAGGTAAGTAAATCCCCACCCAAGTTAAGGTTTGAGAACTTTTTGAGTAGAGTTTAATAGCAATTTGTATGTATGTTAAATGCATGTTATATGCATGAAATTGAGATGTTGTGATTGAATAACTTCATTTGAGATTAAGTGTGTATGTGTTGAGAAGATGTAGTTGAGATGAGGTTTGGAAGGTTTTGAGGAAACCTTTTTAGAAGTGTTATTCCTTGGCAGGATTTATAGCTATGTGAGGGAGTTTTCTCCCATTTGGGATGGTTAGAGAAAGAAATAGAGCTATTGTTATAGTATAGTCTTTATATGCACTTGAGTTGTTCGATGAAATGCCTAAGAGAGGTTTGAGTATGAATAATAAGCCTAAATACTTGCAATATTGCATGTTGGCATCTCATAAGTGCATTAATGGAGATGAACCGTCCATATGCCTTAATTGTGCCTTGAGGTGTGACTTAAGAAAGAGTAGAAA